CCAAAGTTCATTCCATGGGGAAAAGATAGTCTCTTTAACAGATGGTGCTGGCATAACTGGATATCCATCTGCAAAAAACTGAAACAAGACCCATGTCTCATACCACGCACCAAAACTAACTCAAAATGGATCAAAGACCTAAATATAAAATTGAAAACAATAAAGATCATGGAAGAAAAAATAGGGACAATTCTAGGGGCCCTAATACATGGCATAAACAGAATACAAACCATAAGTAACAATACACAAACACCAGAAAAGAAACTAGGTAACTGGGAGCTCCTAAAAATCAAACACTTATGCTCAACAAAAGACTTCACCAAAAGAGTCAAAAGACAACCTACAGACTGGGAAAAAAGTTTTCGATACAACAAATCCGATCAGCTTCTAATCTCTAAAATCTAAAAGATACTGCAAAACCTCACCAACAAAAAGACAAATAACCCAATTAAAAAATGTGCAAGGATATGAACAGACTCTTCGCCAAAGAAGACATTCAGGCAGCTAACAGACACATGAGGAAATGCTCACAATCATTAGCCATTACAGAAATGCAAATCAAAACTACAATCAGATACCATCTCACCCCAACAAGGCTAGCATTAGTCTAAAAAACACAAAATAATAAATGTTGGAGAGGTTGTGGAAAAACTCGAACACTTATACACTGCTGGTGGGAATGTAAAATGGTACAACCACTTTGGAAATTGATTTGGCACTTCCTTAAAAAGCTAGAAATAGAAGCACCATACGTTCCAGCAATCCCACTCCTTGAATTATATCCTAGAGAAATAAGAGTTGTCACACGAATAGATATATGCACACCCATGTTCACTGCAGCACTGTTCACAATAGCAAAAAGATGGAAACAACCTAGATGCCCATCAACGAATGAATGGATACAGAAATTATGGTATATTCACACAATGGAATACTACACAATGATAAAGAACAATGATGAATCCACAAAACATCTCATAACATGGATGAATCTGGAAGGTATTATGCTGAGTGAAATTAGTCACAAAAGGACAAACATTGTACAATGCCAGTATTATAAGAACTCAAGAAAAGGTTTAAACAGAGAAGAAAACAGTCTTTGATGGTTACAAGGGTGGGGAGGGAGGGAGAGAGGAATTCACTAACTACACAGTAGACAAGAATTATCTTAGGTGAAGGGAAGGACAACACACAATACAGGGGAAGTCAGTACCACTGGACTAAACTAAAAGCTAAGAAGTTTCCTGAACACAACCAAACACTTCAAGGGACAGAGTAGCAGAGGCAGGGGTCTGGGGACCATGATTTTGGGGGAAATCTATGTCAACTGGCATAACAAAGTTTATTAAGAAAATGTTCTGCATCCCACTTTCCTGAGCAGTGTCTGGGGTCTTAAAAGCTAGTGAGCAGCCATCTAAGATGCATCAATTGGTCCCAACCCACCTGGAGCAAAGGAGAATGAACACCAAAGATGCATGGAAGTGGAGCACATCCTTTAAACCTGGGGTTCCTGTGCTGAGAAGATCCTAGACCAGGGAAAGATTGATGACAAGGGCCTTCCCCCAAAACCTAGAGAGAGAAAGCTTTTCCCTAGAGCTGGTGCCCCGAATTTGGACTTCCGGCCTCCTAGACTGTGAGAGAATAAATTTCTCTTTGTTAAATCCATCCAATTGTGGTATTTCTATTATAGCAGCATTAGATAACTAAGATACTCTAATAAACTCATTTACAAGTATTAATAACTTTATTGAGATATCTTACGATTTTCTAAGTACATGATTGTGTAGTCTATAGTTTTAGTTTTTTCTCTCAGATTTATTTCTGTTATTTTTCACGTTTTATTATGTTGACTAGAAATGTCAGTACAGTGTTGAATAAAAGTGGTAAGAGTAGACATTCTTGCCTTCTTCCCTTATTTCTAGGGGAAAAGCATTCAGTATTTGAATCATTAATTATATTAGCTGTAGGTTTTTCTTAGCTTTTAATTGGAGTAGTTAGGTCAATTTACTTGAAGCATAATAATTGATATGTTTGGATGTAAATCTACCATCTTCTTGTTTGTATTCATGTCTCTCCTATACATCTAGTTGGACCCTGGTCAAGAAAGACTGCATTAGAGATTACAGTATACACATTTCACTTATTACAATTTATCTTAATTTAGTATTTCTTGGAAAATGCAAAGACTTTATAATACTTTAATTCTATCTACCTCCTCTTGTACTATTTTTCCATGTATTTTAATTCCACATACATTTTAAACTCCACAAGATATTTTTATTGCTTTAATCAGTTAGTACACATTTAGATTTACCCACATACAGGTAGTCCCCAAGTTATGACATATTTGAGTTATGACGAACTGCACTTAACGATCCTTTTTTTTGTTGTTGCTGTTTTTTTTTTTTGGTACATTTTATTGTTAGTAATATGTACTACATACAATGTTGCAGTGTCATTTGCTGATGTTATCATTCTCATGCCAACCTCCAAACACAAATAAAGATCAGATTTATAAATTTATAAAGACAATAATAAAGAAAACTTAAAAAAAATGAGGTACTCGATGTAGGTCAGAACTGACTTACACTGGAGTCTGGCAACAGAACCCCATCATAAGCTGGAGACTATCTCTACTTTATTTTTTCCAGTGCTCTTCATTCCTACATTATCTTGCTTCCATCTGGGATTTTTTTCTTCTTCTCCTTGAATTCCCCTTAGTATTTTTTTCAGTGCAGGCCTGCTGGTAAGGACCTTTCTCAGTTTTTGTTTATCCGGAAATATCATTGACTTTTTTTTAGAGGCATTTTCTCTTGTTATGGAATTCTAGGTCGACATACTTTCAGCATATTAAAGATGGCATTCTGTTGTCTTTTGGTTTCCATTGAAGTTAGTGGGTGAGAGATAATTCTCCATGAGTCTTTTGTGTTTCTGTACATCTTGCAAACAGAGGCACTGATTGCCTTTCTTCTGGACTATTTTTCAAGAACATTATATGGCCAACAGCATTTGAATACAGTGATACTGTTGCCACTGAAGTAGAGAATAGGCATGTTTAGTACCCATTATAAAAGACTTGGATCTACTAGGCTCAGGGTTCCACCAAGTAATTCAACCACTGACTGTGTTACCCTTTGTGAATTGGGGCTCGGGAACCAATGCAAATACTGATGTTCTGTCTACTGCTATTGCCGTAACAAACCCTTCGTCTCTCACCTAGGAGTCTCTAGTCTTCCAGAAGCCATGAATCCATAGTAGGCTAACTTGTTAGCTTGCAAGTAGGATAAAATCTCAGGTTTTTCACAGTTCTTGACAATTTTGGTGACAAGGATGGGATGCTGACAGAGATACGGCTTTCTAGAAGAGGAAGTGTGAGGGACTTGCAGGCTGAATAACAGGATTTGAGGAGGAAGTCCATGGAAATTGGTAGTGAACATGTAAACCAAATTGTATGGTCAAAGGCAAGGGCATGGAAGCTTCACAGACACATCCAAACTCCCTGAGGGGCCAAATTACTGGGCTGAGGGTTGGGGACCATGGTCTTGGGGTACATCTAGCTCAACTGGTATAACATAGTTTATAAAGAAAATGTTCTACATACTACTTTGGTGAGTAGCATCTGGGGTCTTAAAAGCTTGTGAGCAGACATCTAAGATACTCCACTGGTCTCACCCCTTCAGAAGCAAGGGAGAATGAAGAAAACCAAAGACATAAGGGACAGATTAGTCCAAAGGACTAACGGACCACAACTACCACAGCCTCCACCAGACTGAGTCCAGCACAACAAGATGGTGCCCAGCTACCACCACCAATCGCTCTGACAGGGATCACAATAGAGGGTTCTGGACAGAGCTGGAGAAAAATATGGAACAAAATTCAAACTCACAAAAAAAGACCAGACTTACTGGTCTCACAGAGACTGGAGAAATGCCAAGAGTACAGCCTCCGGACATCTTTTTAACTCAGTACTGAAGTCACTCCTGAGGTTCACCCTTCAGGCAAAGATTAGACCGCCTATAAAATGAAAGGAGACTAAATGGGCACACCAGATCAGGCACAAAGACGAGAAGGCAGGAGGGGACAGGAAAGCTGGTAATGGGGAACCCAAGGTCAAGAAGGGGAGAGTGTAGACATGTCATGGGGGTCAGCAATCAATGTCACAAAACAGTATGTGTATTAATTAATGAGAAACTAATTCATTCTGTAAACTTTCATCTGAAGTATAATTTAAAAAAAAAACTGGATGGTCAACTGAGCAATACATCATTTCTCTACTTTATTGTCTGTTAATGAAGAGGAATTAGGGAAGTGATTGTAGGCCAAGTCCAGGAAGTAAGTTCAAAACCAGCTGCGCAAATAATTCTCTGGTTGTTGCTCTCTCCTCCATGGGGCCTTCCACACCAATTCAGCGGTCACCTCATCGTAACCACTGGTATTAAGGTTCATCCTGTGTGGACAGAATGTTTCACCACCTTTCAGACAATAAGTTACGGAGATACGTATCTACACTGAGCACGAAAAGAGGGAAATTTCGGATAGCTATGGACAGAAACCAGGTGAACTGTTAGAATTTTGGCTGGCTGGCTGGCTTGCTTGGATGGGGTGCCTAATACTTATTAAGAAAGAATGGAAACAGTTAAGCTTTCTTACTACTTAGTCCCTCCCGCAGTCTATGATGCCAACCTTCGATCACTTGGAAACAATAAAAGGTCTGAGGTTTTTTTTGCATTGGGTCCAAGCTCTGTGGTCTAGTGTTTGACACTACAAATTGTCATATACAAATATATACCTCTTATTCCTTAATTCAAGGAGCCCTTGTGGTGCAGTGGTTAAGCGCTCAATGCTAATCAAAAAGTCAGTGGTTCGAACCCACCAGCTGCTCCATGGGAGAAAGATGGGCAGTCTGCTTCCACAAATATTTACCGCTCTGGAAACCCTATGGGGCAGTTCTACTCTATTACGCAGTCACTATGAATCAGAATCAACTCATTGGCAGTGGGTTTGGTTTTGGGTTTTTAGTCCTTAGTTCAACAATTTTATTTACTTTGGTTATTTTTTTAAATGGATAATATATACAGATAATTTTAAAAAGTCAAGCCTTATGAGAATATATGCAGTAAAAAGTTTCTATTCCTCATGCTTCTGGCTACCTGACTCCTAGTTCAATGCCAGAATAGCACAGCATGTTTACACACAGTAAATTTAAAGACAGATAACTAGCATTAGCATAAGGTAAGACTCCCCAGCTATCAGAGGATAAATGTGATATCAGAATGAAAACCAATTAAGGTATGGAGGGAATATAAGTTCTCCCTACATTCTCTAATATAACTTCTCTGATACACAATAATTAAGTTGGGTTCACTAAAGGTTTGAGAGTATATAGCACTAATACAGTTCCTATTGAGTTCTGACTGAACACCTCCCCACACTGATTTTTCTAGTATCTGATAAGGTTCTACATTAATACTGTTAAACACATTTCTTACGATAAAATTTTCCTATTGTCAATTTGTTTCAGTGAAAGACTAGAACTTTTCTTACATAATAATTATAACAAAGATAGGAATTTTTTCCATTGTTATTGACATTGTGTAAAATTTTTATTTACATGGAAGGTTCCCCCACAATCTGCAGTCTCCTCTTCAGAATTTTCCTTTAGTAATGCTGTCTGCACTCTGAATTAGACTTTCATCCTGAAAATTACTCTTTTCTCCCCAGTGTGTGTTTTAGTGTAATACAAGAGTTGAGAATTGATTAAAGCCTTTTTCATAACCATCAATATCATTCATAGCGGTTTTTTTTCCTGGTATGGTGTCTCTGATGCTAAATAAAATTGGTGTATACATTAAAGGTTTTCCCATGCTTATCACATCTATATTGCCTTCTCCAGAATGGACTTTCTAATGATTAATAAGATCAGAGAGTTGGCTAAAACTTCTGCCGCAATGAACACACTGGTAAAGTGTCTCTCCAGGGTGGATTCTCTGGTGTTCAACAAGATCCATACAACTGCTGAAGGTTTTTTCACACATCATCACATTTATATGGCTTCTCACTGGTGTGGAGTCTTTGATGGTTAACAAGATCAGAACGTCGACTAAAGCTTTCGCCACACTGATCACGTGTATGGTTTCTCACCAGTGTGGATTCTCTGATGTAGGATAAGAGCTGAGCACTGACTGAAAGCCTTCCCACACTCATTACACTTATATGGTTTTTCACCAGTGTGGATTCTCTGATGTTTGATAACGTCTGAGTTCTGACGGAAGCTTTTGCTGCACTGGGTGCATGGATATGGTTTTTCTCCAGTGTGAATTCTCTGATGAAGAATAAGGTCAGAACTCTGACTGAAGGCTTTCTCACAACTATCACAATGATAGGGCTTTTCCCCAGAGTGTACTCTCTGATGTTTAGTGAGGTCTGAGCTTTGGCTAAAACTTTTATCGCACTGATTACATGTATAAGGTTTCTCTCCAGTGTGTATTCTTTGATGTTTAACAAGGTCTGAACGACGACTAAAACTTTTAGTACAATCACTACATGGATAGGGTTTCTCTCCAGTGTGGATTCTCTGGTGTAGAACAAGGTTTGAGCTCTGACTAAAGTTTTTCCCACATTCATCACATTCATAGGGTTTCTCACCTGTATGAATTCTATGATGTTTAACAAGATCTGATCTTCGACTAAACATTTTACTGCACTGATTACACGGGTAAGGTTTCTCTCCAGTGTGAATTCGTTGATGATTAATAAGATCTGAAAGCCTACTGAAGGTTTTGCTACATTGATTACACGGATATGGTTTCTCTCCAGTGTGAATTCTTTGATGGAGAATAAGAACTGAGCTCTGATTAAAAGCTTTTCCACATTCACTGCATTTATAGGGTTTCTCTCCAGTGTGGATTCTTCGATGTTTTATAAGGTCTGAGTTCTGACTAAAACTTTTACTACACTGATTACATGGATATGGTTTCTCTCCAGTGTGGATTCTCTGATGTAAAATAAGATCTGAACTCTGACTGAAGGCTTTTCCACACACATCACATTTATACGGTTTTTCACCAGTGTGTATTCTTTGATGTTTTATAACATCAGAACTCTGACTAAAATGTTTATTGCATTGATTACATGTATAAGGCTTCTCTCCAGTATGGATTCTCTGGTGTTTAACCAGGTCTGAGCGCTGGCTAAAACTTTTACTACAATGATTACATTGATAGGGTTTTTCTCCTGTATGGATTCTCTGATGTATAATAAGATCTGAGCTCTGACTGAAGGCTTTACCACATTCATCACATTTATAAGGTTTTTCACCAGTGTGGACTCTTTCATGTTTAATAAGGTCTGAGCTCCGACTGAAACTTTTAATACACCAATTACAAGTATAGGGTTTCTCCCCAGTATGAATTCTCTGATGCAGAACCAAGGCTGAGCTTACACTAAAGGCCTTTCCACACTTATCACATTCATAGGGTTTCTTCCAGTGGGTCATTCGATGCCTAATAAGGCCTGTGCTCCAAGCAAAGCTTTGCCCCAATTCATCACAGTTATGTTGTTTTCTTTTTAAAAGGTTCTGATATTTTTCATTTAATTTAACCCCAAATTCACAGAATTCACTGCACTCAGAATCCTGGAGAACAGCCTTTCTGGGATTACCAGAACCTTCAGTCAATGGTCCACTTTTTGCTGAAATTTCCTCCTTTGAAGCTGACTCTCCAATCTTGGTTTTAGTCTCACCATCTGGAATGATAAACAAAATCCAAATAAAATGTGGTCTTCATACTGTGAGAAAGTTTCACGTGAAACAGATCAGTATATACTGGTACAACTATAAAATATCATCATAATATGGGAGTACTCCAAAACACTGAAAATTACCCACTGAGAGGTAAACTAGGAAGAATCAACATGTAATGGATCATATTAACCAGTGATTGGGAAACTCTGACTAAATTAGGAGCTAATACATAAGAAATTTACTAACATATATAAGATAAAAATGTTAAAAAAGTGTGAGAGTCTAAAAAACAGAAAAATCGGCTGGGCTTTATCTAGCACTATCCAACTAGTTGGACCAAAAGTAAATGAATGAATGAATGAAAACAAAACCCTTCAATTACTAGGTATCTTCTCTCAAATTTTAGAAATGGTAGAAAAATTCATTATTAACAACTAATAGAGCGCATTACTGGGTTCCAAGCGTATTATACAATAAACACATAAAGGTTAATGATCCCAGTGCATAAGGACAGCAATCACTTCAATACTGAGTTTTCATACAACTGTCTGATTTTATTGAGTGGAAAAATCCATAGGCTTCCAAAGGGATAATCCAGTTGGACACCTGACATTTTACTATGAAAATTATGGCTTATGTTCTCATCCAGATGAAGGGCCACCCTAGCTCTGCCCAGAAATGGGTTACAGGAATGCCTTTAGGAAGAATACCCAGAAAATGGTAACAGTGATTAAATATGAAGACAATTAGGAGTCAGATGGCCAGAGGTATGAGGAATAGAAACTTTTTACTGCATATACTTTTGTAAGGCTTGACTTTATCATCTGTATATATTATCCGCTGAAAAAAATAAATATACCAAAGTAAATAATATTGTTGAATTAAGGAATAAGAAACATATATTTCTATATACGACAATTCATAGTGTCAAACACTAGACCACAGAGCTTGGACCCAATGCAAATATAACTCTCAGACATTTTATTGTTATTTCCAAGTGATCAAAGGCTGGCATCACAGACTGCAGGAGAGGCTGAGTAGTAAGGCAGCTTAGCTGTTTCCATTCTTCCTTAATAAGCATTAGGCACCCCACCCAAGCAAGCCAGCCAAAATTCTAACAATCTGCCTGGTTTCTGTCCATAGTGATCCCAAATTTCCCTCTTTTCATGCTCAGCGTAGATATATATGTCTTGTAACTACTGTCTAAAAGGGATTGAAATCTTCTGTTCACACAGGATGACTCTTAATACTAGTGGTTACAATGAGGTTAACCTGAGGCTGACCCACTGAATTGGTGTGGAAGGCCCCCTGGAGGGGAGTTAGCAACAACCAGGGAACAATCTGGGAGCTGTCTTTGAACTTATTTCCTGGACTTGACATGCAACCACTTCCCCAATTCCTCCTCATTAACAGACAATAAAACAGAGAAACATTTATTGCCCAGTTGACCATACAATTTGGTCAACATGTTAACTACCAATTCCCATGGACTTCCCCTTCAAATTCTGTTATTCAGCCTATGAGGCCCTCACACTTCCTCTTCCAGAAAGCCGTGTCTCTGTCAGCATCCCATCCTTGTCACCAAAACTGCCAAGAACTGTGAAAAACCTGAGACTTTATCCTACTTGCAAGCTAACAAGTTAGCCTACTATGGATTCATGGCTGCTGAAGAAGACTAGAGACTCCTAGGTGAGAGACAAAGAAAAGTTTGTTGCAGCAGTAACAGACAGAACATCAGCATTTGCATGATTCCCGAGCCCCGATTCCCACAGGGTGACACATATAGTAGGTTGAATTACAGGAGTGGAACCCTGAGCCCAGTAGATCCAAGTCTTTCATGATGGGAACTAAGCATTCTCTGTCTCAATGGAGACACTATCACTATATTCAAAAGCTGTTGGCCATATAATGTTCTTGAAAAAATAGTCCAGAAGAAAGGCAATCAGTGCCTCTGTTTGCAAGATGTACAGAAACACAAAAGACTCATGAAGAATTATCTCTCACGTACTAACTTCAACAGAAACAATGGAAACCAGAAGACAATAGAATGCCATCTTTAAGATGCTGAAAGAAAATGTGTCAACCTAGAATTCCATAACAAGAGAAAGTATGTCTAAGAAAAGTCAAAATAAAGATATTTCTAGATAAACAAAAACCGAGAAAGGTTCTTACAGGCAGGCCTGCACTGAAAAAAATACTAAGAGGAATTCAAGAAGAAGAAAAAAATCCCAGATGGAAGCAAGATAATGTAGGAATGAAGAGCACTGGAAAAAATAAAGTAGAGGTAGTCTCCAGCTTATGATGGGGTTCTGTTGCCAGACTCCACTGTAAGTCAGTTCTGACCTACATCGAATATCTCATTTTTTTTTAAGTTTTATTATTGTCTTTATAAATTTATAAATCTGATCTTTATTTGTGTTTGGGGGTTGGCATGAGAATGATAATATCAGCAAACTACGTGCTGCAACACTGTATGTAGTACATACTACTAACGATAAGATGTACAAAAAAAAAGACGATCATAAGTGAGGTTCATCATAACTCTAATATGTCATAAGTCGGAGACTGCATGCATGTGGGTAAATCTAAATGTGTACTAACTGATTAAGGCAATACAAATATGTTGTAGAGTTTAAAATATATGTAGAATTAAAATACATGGAAAAATAGCACAAGAGGAGGAAGTAAATATAATTAAAGTATTATAAAATCTTTGCATTGTTCAAGAAATACTAAACTAAGATAAATTGTAATAAGTCAAATGTGTATATTGTAATCTCTAATGCAGCCCTTCTTAATCAGGGTCCCACTATATATATAGGGGAGACATTAATACAAACAAGAAGATGGTAGATTTACATCCAAACATATCAATTATTATGTTCTATGTAAATTGACCTAGCTACTCCAATTAAAAGCTAAGAAAAACCTACAGCTAACATCATACTTAACGGTCAAATACTGAATGCTTTTCCCCTAGAAATAAGAGAACAAGGCAAGAATGTCTAGTCTTACCACTTTCACTCAACATTGTACTGACATTTCTAGTCAACATAATAAAACATGAATAATAAGAGAGACATACAATTAAAGAGAAAAGTCAAACTGTATTTATAGACTACACAATCATGTAAGTAGAAATTCCTAAGGTATCTCAAAAAAGCTATTAATACTTGTAAATGAATTTATTAGAATATATTAAAACCAACTATTTCTATATATTAGCAATGAACAAGTAGAAACTGAAATTTAAATTTTTTCAATTGAACCAAAAAAATTGAATATTTAGAAATAAAGTCAACAAAATAAGAGCAAGATTTCTGTAATTAAAACTATAAAACACTGCTGAGAAATTAAAGACCTAATAAAGAGAAATATATACCATATTTATAGATAAGATTTAAAATTGTTAAGATGGTAATTCTCCCCAAATTGACCTACAGATTCAATGCAAACTCAATCAAAATCCCAGTAGGATTTTTGTAGAAATTGACAAACTGATTCTAAACCTTGAGTCTAAACACTGAGTGTAAATTTTGAAAAAGAAGAACAAAATTAGAGAAGTTACACTACCTGATTTCAAACTTTATTACAAAACTATAGTCATCAAGGCAGTGTGGTACTGGCCTAAGGACAGACATATCCATTTATAGTACAAACAGAGTCCAGGAAGAGACCCAAAGATATATGGACAACTGATCTTCAACAAGGGTGCCAAGATAATTCAGTGGTGAAAGAAAAGGCCAGTCTTTTCAACAAAAAGTGTTGAGACTGGATATCCATGATGACAAAAATGAACCTTGACTCCTTCTTCACACTATATACAAATATTAACTAGAAATGTAATATAAATCTAAAGATAAAACTATAAACTTCCAGAAGACAGCCTAGGTGATCATCTTTATGACTTGCAGGGAGGCAAGGATTTTAGATAGAACACCAAAAGCATAAATCATATAAACTAATAAATTTCATCAAAATTATAAACTTTTGCTCTTCAAAAAATATTACTAAAAAAAAAAAGTAAAGCCAAATGGAAGAAAATATGCACAAAATATATACGTATGACAATGCGCTTGAATCCATAATTTATAAAGAATTTTTACAACTCAAAACTAAGAATACAAATCAATAAAAAGAATAAAACTCTGAAGAGACAGTTCACAAAAAAAAGTTATATGAATGGTCAGTAAGCACATGACAAAATGCTCAACATCACTAGTAATTAGGGAAATGCAAATTAAACCACAGGGAAATACTGGTAAATACCCATTATAAAAAAAAACCAAACCCGTTGCCTTTGAGTCGATTCAGACTCATAGTGACCCTATAGGACAGAGTACAACAGCCCTACAGGGTTTCCAAGGAGCGGCTGGTGGATTCAAACTGCCAACTTATTTGGTTAGCAGCCAAGCTCTTAACCACCGTGCCACCACGGCTCCAAATACCCATTAAAATGGCTAAAATTACAAAGGCTGAGAATACCAGGTGTTGACAAGGATGTAGAACTGAACCTCTCATACATTGCTGATGGAAATGCAAAATGGTACAGCCACTTTAGAAAATTCTGGCAGTTTTCATAATGTTAACATACTCTTTCCATATGACCCAGCAATTCTACTTCTAAGTATTTACCAAAGAGGAATGAAAACATATATCCACCTATCTCTAGATGTTAGATTGTAGTTATTTAATTTTTTTCATGCTTTTCTGTATTTTATAAATGCCCTATAGTATAT